GTGAGTCGACCCCCACAGTGGGCTCATCCAGTATAATAAGTCTCGGTCTGTGAATCATAGTTATGGCGATCGACACCCGGCGCTGTTGACCACCGCTTAACCGACTGATAATCCGTGACTTTTCCGGCAAATGTAATAATTCTCTCAAATTCGCGATTCTGTTCATCAGTTCCTCGCGTTTTATATGATATAACATTCCGTAATAAATGAGAATTTCATTGATAGTGAACTCATCAAAAAGTGCCAACTCTTGAGGCATATATCCCACGCCCGCACCCGGAATGGCAGACCCTTTAGTACCGGGTTGTGCCCCAAATACCCGTATTGATCCATGTGTTGGTTTGAGTCGGCCTAATATGACACGTATTAATGTGGTCTTCCCGGTGCCGTTTGGACCCAACAGAGCAAATATTTTTCCTAAATATAAGGATTATTTTGTAAAATAATTTTGTTTCTTGAATTAAAATCTATTATTTTATTTTTAATCTTAACAAATATCTATTAATATAAAAAATAATATATAATAGAAAACTGTAAATTCAGTTTATTTGCCAAATAAATTATATTTGTTTTAAGATCTATTAAATTAAGAATTAATATAAATAATTTTATTATTTAAAACAAGTCATACCCTTTGGTATCTGAACCGTGAGATTATCGAGTATTTTAACATTTGTTTTATACTCAAAGTGGACATCACTCACACCGACAGCCAGTTCCTCGCAGTTATTATTAGCATCTATTGTGGTATCATTGAACTTATCGCTGAAATCATTTGTATCACATTTTTTGCTAGTATCATTATTTGTATCCATATTTATAGTAAATAAGTAAACAATTAATTTTGAGCAGACAATTTAAATATTATTAATAAAAGTCAATATAACAAGGCAATTCTTGTTGAGGTTATCACACGGTCTAAAACACTAAATAATAATAATGTATTAATTATTATTTTTGAAAATATACGTCACGTTTTGGGAAATTTAATAAAATTTACATATTTTTTATTTTATATAAATTTTATTTGCAGTCAATTTGCCATATAATAGACAAACATTTTGAAGATATTTCGTTGTTTCAATCATATTATAGACATTATAAATATGAGAAATTTAGTTACTAGGAGAAGAGTAAAACAAGGTAACATTGTATATGTTTTCTCATAATACCTTATAATTTAAATATACACTAATCTAATGTTTGGACTGTAGTGTGAAATACAATTAAACCTTAGTTTCAATTTTCAATACAAAAACATAGTTTAACTGATTTTGTATTTTCTCCCCGTCCTTAAGCTTATAATTAAAATATATATTTTATTTTTGAAATGTCTTTGAAATATAAATACTTTTTCTTTCGTTTCAAAGTGAATTAAAATGAATGTTTTGACTATTGATGTATAGGTCGTGATTGATAGGCAATTTGTAGCATATAATTGTAAACTAATTACAGTACAATAATTTGGTTATGCTATTGATGGTCATAATTAAAAGTGACCCTGATTGCAGAAGTAAAAATTATTTAATAATTATCTGCAATCAATTATTATTTTAATGTAGAGAAAGAATTATTAATAATAAAATTATCACAAATATTAGACTATTTAATCGTAAAAATGTTTACCAAATAATGTTTTTAAAATGTTGTAACAAATGACTCAAATAATGTTGATTTTCTAAATGAATACGATATATAATATTATATTATATATTATATATTATATATTATATATTATATATTATATATTATATATTATATATTATATACATCTAATTCATAACAGTAATTCTGAATTACTAATTCATTAAGAAATTTTTGTATGTTTAATAATATTTGTATCACAATATATTAAGATAATACTTATGTTTTTGCAATAATTATTGTACACGTGTGTAAAATTATATTGTATTGTTTGTAGTATTAATTAAGAATTCCTTTCATATTAATTAATATATTATGTAAATAACAAAGATGCGAATATTTAAAAATGCTTAAATAGTAATTAATCAAATAAGGTGACATTCACCTAATAAACATGCAAACATACAGTATTTTTGTTCAAAATCTTGCAATTTATTAGACATTACATTAAAAAAGCATATACAGTATTAGATATTAGAATTAACAAGTTGGCTGATCCACAATTTTTGAAACAATTAATGTACATTACACTCAAGACAAATATTAATTGATTTATAATTACATGACTTTTATAGATACTAAAATTATGTATACATGCTTGTGTATTGTGTATTAATTCTTGTTTATGACATCATTTTTATGAACAACACGTTAACAATGAATTCATTAATCAGTTTCCAGAATATACTTCGTATTATAAGTTATATCAAATCAATGGCTATTTAATAACTATCATCCATGTCATCATCATAAGGAACCAGTTGTATATCTGAGCTACTGGCCCAACCACCATATCCACCACCACCGCCACCACTATTACCTCCACCGCCATATCCGCCGCCACCACCGCCTCCGTGTCCACCGCCTCCATAACCACCGCCGCCGCCACCGCTATGACCTCCGCCTCC